GGACTGCTGCTTACCTACGCCTGTTCTTACTTACGTGTTCATGGTTTGTGCTTTCTTCTTTTCCTGGTGTGTGTTCTCCAGGGCCATAAGAGGCATCCATGGGACTTGGCCATCTGTGCAATTGCTCGTTGCCATGGTGACTCAGTGCCACAGCTGTGGGTCCCTGTGGCTCACCCTCCACTTGCCCTGCATCCTTTGCCACCCTGAGGATGATTTGAGGAAGGTGGTGCTGCTGCACCACGCTGCGGGCAACCTAAGCTCTTCTCTTTCTTTTGTTTAAAGACAGGTTTTCAATTAGCAATAATCGCGCCTTGGATAAACCTCATTGGCTACGATACTGCCACTGCGCAAAGCTAAGACAGGTTTTCACAATGTCATGATCCTCCCACCTCAGCCTCCCAAGTAGCTGGGATTATAGGTGCCCGCCATTGTACTTGGCCTTCGGGTGAACCAGGAGATAACCTGCACCCCCTGTGAGGCCCCTTCCTGCAGAGCACAGTGTATTAGCAGCGTGTGCCCCTGTGCTGGTGTTTCTAACCAGCAAGGAGGTTTCCTGCGTTTGTCAGTAATCCAGAGTGAGCTGATGGGACTTAAGCAAAAAGGCAGGAAGTGGATTTCTCAGGACCCCCTAGGCTGCCCCACTGTGTTGTACAACAACCTAGAGCCTGACCCATGACCAGAGGTCCCATAGCCCTCCCAGCTAGCGGGCGGTGCTCTGTGGCCTGCCGCGAAGTCCTCGACCACATTCCCATTACAGGCATGTGTGAGGAGACAGGAGAGCAAGTGCTGTCTGAGCTCGCCGGTGAGCTGGGCACAGTCCTGGTCTTGTCCGTGGAGGGTGCTGGAGGGAGTTTCGAGACAGAGGAGCTTCTCCTGGTTCAGCTGAATCCGTTTTCCTTCTCTCTGCTCAGGCTGGACATTGTGGTGTTCTTCCCTGCCCAACGGCCCCCAGTGGCCGGGCACAGTGCCTGTGCCCAGGTTACACCCATCTGTGTGGGCGGGTGGATCCCAATAACCTGATAACCGTGAAGAGAAACCTCTTTCTGAGTCTGTCCTTTTTGGGGTGTTCTCCCTTGGCTGCAGGGTGTGCTGCAGAGCTCTCTGGGCATCTTTATAGTTGTCCCCTTGTAATAGCTAGTAATTTTTTTTTAAATGATGGAATATGTGCATGACAGTAAGTGAGAAAAAAGAGACAGAGAGATAGTACCTTTGATGGGGTCTTGGAACATGGTGATCCCCTTTTCCTAGCCCTCCAACTCCTCAGGATCCTGGGAATGTACACATGCCCGGCTTGTTTTCAGGTCACCCAGGGATCACCAACTCTGTGGTCGCTGTAAGGCTTTTGGCCTTACAGGGCTCCTGCACTACTGCTGTGCCACAGTGGCTGGGTCTAGTTAGTACATCTTTAATTAATTAATTTATTTAATTTTTAGTTTTGCTATAGGGAGCATGCACTTGTCAGAGAGAGACAGAGAGAGGGAAAGTGAGAAATACCAGGGGGGATGATCAGACCATAATCTCTTCTCTTGGGATTTTAGGCATGCATGCACATGTGCCTGGTGTGATTTTCAAGTCTCATGTCTGGAACTCGAACCATGAAGTCGGCTGTGCGGGATCCAGCACCTTAAACTCCACGCCACCGGCTGTCTCTCTACTTAGTACATTTTTTGGTTAGACCTTTCTGTTCATGTTACTGGGTAACCCATGTCTCCTGAGTGGACCGTGACTGATATACGAGCCCTTTTGGTCTTTACTGAGTGCCCTGCTGATTCTGTGAGGTCCCTACTCTGGCTGGTGGGAATTTAAACACTTCCTGGCACATGGAAGCTTGGGGGCTTGTTCTGCTTGCAGCTTTTTGGTCATTTTTCTCCTGGCCTCCTACTGTTTCACCCTCATCCAGTTCAGCTCTGTACCAGCCAGAGACTCCAGGGAAACTCCATATAGACCTCCAGACCTCTGTCTTTTATTTTTTTTATTTCATTTTCTTCCATACATTCAATCACATTATTATTTGTCTTACAAAATGTATATTTCAACAGGTGAACATTTCTCCCCAGTCCACAATCCCTTCTCCTCCATTCTCCTCTCGGGGTCCTGGGCATGCACGCACATGCACCCAGCATGAGTTTAAGCTGCCGGGTCCAGGACTCAAACTGCAGTCAACTACGTGGGAGTCCAGCGACACAGCCGTTATGCCAACTGCGGGTCCCCAGACCTCTGTCTTGGGTAGCTCTCTGGGTGCCCTGCCCTGCAGTGTCTAGCTGCCTCACTCACCCCAGCACAGTCTTTGTCTCCTCAGCTCGCAGACCTCCAGGCTCTGTTCATAACCACTATGCCCAGTCTCTGACCAGATATGGTTTGGATATTGCTTCCAGAAGAAAGCTGCAATAACGTCAGGATTCATTTTAATTTTTTCCTATTTTCTTTTTTAAATGTATTTTTCTTTCGACTTATTTTAATTGCCAAAGGACGTGTGCACTTGCCACAGAGAGAGAAATCACCCCCCAATGGGATGTAGTCATGTCAATATTTCTTCTCCATTTCTCTCTCCTGTTTCTTTTTTTTTTTTTTTAGAGGTTTTTGCTATAGGGCTCATGTGCTCTTCAGAAAGACAGAGACAAAGTGAGAAATCACCCCCCAGGGGGGATGGCCACGCTACAATCCCTTCTCCTCCATTCTCCTCTCAGGATCCTGGGCACGCACGCACACGTGCCTGGCGTGAGTTTAAGCCACCGGGTCCAGGACTCGAACTGCAGTTGACTATGTGGGAGTCCAGCGACATAGCCATTACACTAACTGCTGGTCCCTCCTGTCAGGATTTTAGGCATGCACATACATGTGCCCAGTGTGATTTTTAAGTCACCAGGGCTGGAATTTGAACCACAGTTAATCACGTGGCATCCACCTCCCTAACCACTAGGCTTTAGGACCAGCCCTTTCCTTTTTCCAGTGGTTGCCATCTTGCATTGCCTGTGGTTCATCTGAAAACAAAACAAAACAAAACAAAATTGTTCATTTACTCTTGTAAACTTTCTAGTTATTTGTGGTAGGAAGACAAGTCTTACAGCAGTTATTTCTGGAACTCTCTTTTTTTCTAATATATTTTTACTTCAATTTCTTTTATACATTCATTCACATATGTCACTTAGCTTGCAAAGTGAATATTCAACATGTATACATTTCGTACCAGACCATTCGAGAATACTAAACGTTACCTTCAACAGATAATAACCCATTTCTTTGTCCCATAAATGCCTTGCCTCTCTATTTTTCTCCTTAATGTCCTTCCTCAGCCTCTCCTCCTTCACCCACCCTCTCCCCACACTGTATCTGGTATGTATAACCATTTTCTATGTTTCTATATCCTGTAGTCATTCAGTTTCAGCCATAGAGTGTGGACAATCGGTATATATTTTGCTACTATTGGGTCATTGAGAAAGTCACGACGCATTTTTGCTTAGACAAACAGCAACCTAATAGATTTGTTTCCTTCTGTAGAACTGCGCCCATCTCTTCCCCGTCTGGAATCCAAGGTGTCTGACTCACTGAGTCACCTGTTTTCACTTACTCTATCACCAAGGCTATTCACAAAGTGTTAGGAACATAAAACAAAAGAGCAATTTGAGAAAATGACAAAGCATCCTGTAAAAGCTATTACTCAGATCTGGCTCTTTTCAGGAGCTGTTTCTGTAATTACTTCTTTCTTCTAGAACACCCTGATTTTGATGACAACAAAATGACTGTTTTACCTTTCTGTACATAATTCATTGACATCCAAGTGCATAGAAAAATGGATTTTAACAAATGGTATTTCTTGCACACTAGACCTCAGGATGTGAGATTCAAGCCCATCTGGTTTCTCCCTTGCAGAGCTCTGTTAACAGCCTTCTTGAGTTTCAGATCCTGCTGCCTTATCTCTTCACAGAAAATACCACCCATGCTGCTATCCATGAACTATTCTGCATCTGTGCTCACAAGAGCCCAGGTGGAGAAGAGAATACAACCTGAAATGTTTTCTTGGTAATCCCAGATATAGTATAAAAAATAACCAAGTTGCATGAGGTCCGCAGATGGTGTAGTGGTTACATTGGTGGGCTCTCACATGGCCGCCTCCGAGGGAGCTCCGGACTTGGTGGTTTGACACTTATGCCAGGAGTCTGTGTGTGTGCCGGAGATCCTGGGAGGAGAATGGAGGAGAGGGGATTGTGGTATGGCCATCTTCCCTGGGTGGTGATTTATTACTTTTCTTTTCATTGTCTCTCAACCCCCTCACAAGTGCATGTACCCTAAGGCCAAACCTCTTATCTACAAGAAAAAAAAAAGAATACTCAAGTTTCCAAACCAAAATTATGTTTTAGGCACTGTGCTAAATACATTATATAAACAATGGTGGCTAATATTCACCTTACAACAATCCCTTGAAGAAGATAGTAACATATGCCCACTTTATGGATGAGAGAATAGAGGATTAGAGAATTTCCAAACTTAGTTCAGGTCCCAAAATGGGCGAGTGTCAGTATCTGGGCTTAATTTTCTGATGGGCTGGAGGACTGGAAGGACAGGAGTACGACCAGATCCTGTGGGGAGAGCCTGCCTTGCTCTCCCTTTTTAGTGTCAGAAGTGGGATTCTCTCTTTTTCTCACACTCTCATGTGCATGTGCTTGTGCTCCATTATAAATAAAGAAAAAAATTAAAAACAAGAGTTTTAGTTTTTGGCGCATGTTGGATTTCAGGTTTTCAGATTAGGGATGCCTAATTGTATAGAGAAAGTGGTCCTTCTTGCACGCTGGACCTCGGGATGTGAGATTCAACCCCATCTGGTTTCTCCCTTGCAGAGCTCTGTTAACAGCCTAGTGAGACTAGGTCATTTCCTGCCCCTCTCATTTCCCAGAGGCCTGAGATCTTCACCCTCACAAACCCTCATGAGTTTAGAGACATATAGACCAACCTGAATAAATAACCACTGTTTAATTCCATCCATTTGATTTGTACATTTTTATTCATGATCACAATTCACAAGTGTGCAAGTGTCCACAGAACAGGCAGGAAGACTCCTTCCTGACCATGGACTCATTGGATGGGCAGGAGAGGATGTTCAAATGCTCAGGGTGGGACATATGGCCAGCCAATCACAAGGAATCCATTTATTTTCTGGAGAGCACCTGGTGGGACACATCTGGGATTATTTCACTGAGGACTTACGATACCTACAGACACAGGCACGGCCCAGGAGTGGCTGAGCTCTGCTCTGCGCTATTGCCGTGTTCACTTCACACTTCCCTGTTTGGATGAAGAAAACTTATGTCACTAATAAAATAAAACAAGGAAGAAATGTGTCTTTCACTGTGGAGATAGACTTCGACTCAAACACCTGGGACTTGCCTGCTGGGTGTAGCCTCCTCGTGTGTGCAGCCATGGGGTACTGCCCCCCTCTCGGCTCAGGCCCGCACCGTCTCTATTTCTGCACATTCCCTTTTCTTGTGTGCTCCAGGGCTGGCCTGGGAGATGGAGGGGCTGGGGAGTGAGAGGTGGGGCTGCGGAGTGAGAGGTGGGGGAGGCCGCAGGTGAAGTGCAAAACTTCCTGTAAGGTCTCTGTGTCATTCTAGGGGAGGCCAGCCACAGCCCCGCACTGGAAGTGTAAACAGGAGCCAGGGCAGTTGGGGGTTGGGGGTGGAGGTGGAAGAGAATAAAGGCTGAGACTTGGTGTGATGGGATCTTCCATGCAGCCTAAGGCCTGGCCTGCCTGGGCTGTGTGGACCGGTGTGATTCTCAGGAGGTGGGGAGTGGGAGGACACTAGGGGAGATTCCACCCATTGTTGGACCACCTTCTCAGAAAGTCTGTGCCACCATGGGGTCTACTCCAGCATGGGCAGACTTTACTTTACTAACCCTTCTCTCAGTTCCCTGTTAAGTCCGGGGACCTCACGCCTCCTATGTACAAAGCCCCCTCCTCACTCCCCTTTGATCAGAGTGAGAAAACAGAAGCCACAGAAGACCTGAACCAAGGGGGAGGCCTCCAGTCCTTACTCCCAGGCTCCTGGGTGGGCAGCCCCAGTGTTCTTGGCAGGATGGGGGAACTGTAGGCTAAGGAATGGCCCCCAAAGACATCCACGTTCTAATCCCCAGGACCTGTGACCATATGTCCTTACATGGAATGCAGACTTTGCAGTTGTGGGTACGTTCAGGATCTTGAGATGAGAGAGGAACCTGGTTACTAGGTGTGTCCAGTGTGTGTGTGTGTGTGTGTTGGCACTGCTTGGGTGGTTTTCATTTACCACTGAGTTCAGGGTGATTTTTTTTTTTTTAATTTTTTTCAAATTTATTTTTCTGATTCTTGTAGCAGCAACAGGAATGGAATGCCCGGGCTGTTGACACCAAGGAGCAGGTCCCGGCTTTCAATCAGGAAGATGGTTTTCTTGTATCGTTTTATTGGATAGAATACCTCTTTTCACTCTATGGGCAGAGCTAAAGAGCAGTTGAAAGGGAAAAGGACCAAATGATTTGGAGTTTAAGTAACGGGAACACAAAATAAGATGGATTTTTTCTGTGTGTGTGGGGTCGAGGGAATGAGTCACAAACACTTGGAAGTTGGGGTCTCTGTTCATCATTTCCCTCCAAGTCACAGCCTTGAGTTTGGGGTGCAGGATGTGGCATCCCAATCCAGCCACCTGCTCTGGGCTCCCAGCAGAGCTCACAGGACAACCGGTCCACAGGCAGGAGCCACGAAGGTGAAAGCACGTGGCAAATATTCCAGAATATAAAGTGCATTTTTGTGCTTCTCCTTATCACATTAGGCAAGACTGAGGTACCTTGGAAATAACAGGTCGTGCGGCCTCTGCACTTAGTCTCCCCACTTCATCGTGAAGTTAGAAAAACACAAAGCAGCGCCCAGTTAGTTGCCCAGGATCCAGTTCCTCCAGTTAAATGCCGAGTTTGACCCGTGAGTCAGCGTCTTGATGGGTGGGCTCACCAGCTCCCACTTCCCTTCCTCTTTATTTTCTTCACAGAAGCACATGCCCAGAGAGGGGATCTAGAACAGAGTTTTAAGTCACTTATGAATACTTTGTGATGGTCAATTTTAGACTAGTTCTCGAGCCCCTTGGCTGGCCTTCCTACACCTTGAAGGGTGGCACCGCTGCTCTGCGGTCTCAAACCATGCCTGCAACTACCAGGGGAGTTCTCAGCTGGGGGTGACTTACTCACCCCAACCTTGGGACAGTAGGCAACAGCTGGAGACATTTTTGTTCGTCCCAACTGGGAATGGATGGGTGTCACAGCTGACATCCAGCAGGTCAAGACCAGAGGTGCCCTCACATCCTGCAATGCCCAGACCAGCCCCAACAAAGGATCACTCAGTCTGCCTGGCCACGATGCCAGGGGAGAGCCTGGATGCCACTTGGAGTGGCGTACGTTCCCCCCGTTCAGCATTGTGGAAGACATAGACGCTGAGATTTCAGGCCCCAGAGAAAAGCACAAAATAAAACTTGAACTCAATTCCTTTATTTATAAAACGAATGTGTTGGAATAACGTTTCGTTTGTAAGGCTTTTTAAAATTTTCATGTTTTGCTCATCTTTTTTTTCCTTCCCTCTCTTGTCAATTCCTAAAAATTCCTTGGTCTGATGAAATTTGCAAAAATTCCAACATTCAGGAAGAGGTCGAGGGATCCCAGTGGAGGCTGGTGTCAACACAGGGATGGTCCTCCCCGTCTGGTATAAAACACGGAGGGGCGTGCTGGAGTGGGCAAGGGGAGGTGCCGAGCGGTCTTTCTGTTCCCAGCTGCCCCTGATTTGAAGGCCCATCACTTGGGCAGAGCCCACAGATGGACTTCTATTCGCATGAGCTAGTCTAGCTTACTTTGGCGTGGGGGGTAGGGTGGACACCAAATGTTCATAAGAAAGCCCTAGGATTTTGGAAGTCCAAAGCTGGCATCTGGAGAGTGGGGGCTGGGGTGAAGGGCCTGAGTGGGCGGTGGGAACTTTGGCCACACAGAGTAATAGGCTTTCGCGACAGCATCATGAAGTAAGTCTGTGCATGGCGGGTGCTGTGCACCAGGTTCTCAGTCACACGGACCCCAGTGAGCTGAGGGGTGGGGGAGGGCTTTGTGTGTGGGTATGGGGCTGTGGAGAGGGGCGGGAGGGGATCAGAGCACAATGACAGGGGACACGGGGACATTTGCAGGAACAGAGCAACAAAGAGGAATAGATGACATGGGGGATCCTGGGAGAAGCCCCAGGAAAATCCAAATGAACAGACATTTCCCAGTGTAGCCTGTGTCCACTACATTCGGACAATGGGTCTCTGGTGGCCCAAGACCCCAGAGGGCTGAGGAACATCTGGGTTGTGATTGGAAATACCACCTTGGAGATACACTGGAAGGGAAGCCTCTTTTGTTGGGGGGGGAGATTTTTTTTTTCCTTAGGGTGCGTGTGCTCGCCAGAAAGACAGAGAGAG